CACGTCGTACAACGCGGCGAAGGCAGCTGGTACAAAGAAGTCGGGAGGCCTCCGAAGTCGGCCTGACTTCCGTGGTCTAGGCTGAACTTCCACCACGTCGCCGTCGGTGGATGATGTGGATTCCTCAGCGTCCGACTGCTCCCCTTCATCGTCACCGGCGTCGCTGCCCTCATCGTCCTGCTACACCTCAGTCGGCGTCCAAACCGACTTCTCCCCTGCGCTCGGCTCCCCTGCCGACTGCCCGGTCGCCGACTGCTCATTGGTCGGCTTCGGTGCTGCCTGTTCCCCTGTCGACTGCTGACCTGTTGACGCCTTCTTCACCGGCTCCACCAAATTCGGCAGCTCCCCTGTCGGCGGCGGCTTCTCTCCCACGCCGACTGGCTTGACGTCACCTAGCCTAACGACGATGCTCTTGGTCGGCGCCACAGGCGACGCCCCACTTCTCCCCTCATCGCCGGGGGCCGACACCGGAGGTAGCCCACGCATGTCGGCAACAAGGGGAGGGGCAAGGGGGGCAGGGGAAGGAGAAGGAGGGCGGACGACTTCAGCGTCCTCATCAGCTAGCCCTCCGACATCGGCGAGCAGAGGGAGGGTCGCCATCAAGGTGCCCGTCGGCGGGTTGGCCAGCGTCCGCCCCGACGCCGGCCCGTGCTCCGACTTCCACACCTCCAGCGACGTCGTCTCGTAAAACACCACGTCCGACGTGGTGACCACCCGGTGGTCGGCGAGGTCGAGGAGCTCCCAGCCCTTGCTCTCCGCCGACATGCCGAGATGAATACCCCACCTAGCCTTCGGCTTCAGCTTCCCACCACGCTGCTGCTCGGGGACCACGAACCTGCCCGTACACCCCGCAGCAGAACGGCATGTCGGAGCGGGAGATGAGAACGGTGGTGGAGTCGGTGTGGACGATGCCATCTACGAAGGCGGTGAAGTCCTTCCCGAGGAACTCCCCTCCCTGGTCAGAACGCAGCATCAGCACCGACTTCTGCGACTGCCCTCAGCCACCGCTAGCCACCGCACGAACTCCTGCAGCACATCCAACATCTTCGCGGCCGCCCTCACCCACACATAGCGGGTCTTGCGGTCCTTCAGCAGCAAGAAGTACAAGCTGCATCCTTGGCAGCCACTCGGAACGGCCCGCACAGGTCGATGTGCACGACGGCCAGCACGTCGTCGGCGTTGGAGCCCTGGTCGGGGAAGGTGTGCCGCGCCAGCTTCCCGCCTACGCACGAAACACACGGTGAGTCGGCGGCAGACGTCGATTTGAGGTCTAGTCCAGTGGCGACCTCGAGCGTCGCCGAGCTCCATATGGTGTCCATGCCGACGTGTGCAAGGCTCGCATGCAGCCTGTCCGGCGTCGACTTCGTTGCCGAGGCTATCGCCCGCAGGGCCACCACCCCCGTCATGGGCATCGTCAACGTCGCCGAGCAGGGACACAGGCCGGTGCAGAGGACCTGGCCGGTGTAGGACGCTCGACCGAGGACGTCCCCTGCCGCCGTGACGAGCAACATCCCGTCGGCGTCCTCCTTCAGCTTCACTCCGTTCTCGTTCTGCTAGCCAGCCGACAGCAGGTTCGCGTGCACGCCTGGAACGTAGAGTATGTCGAGAATCAGCACCTGCTTCCCGTCCTCCCCTTGCAAAGCGACAGTACCTCGCCCCTGGACGTCCTGCAGCGCACCATTGAAGCCGCGCACGTGCTTGACGTCGCTGCTCAGCTGCAGGTCGACGAAGACCTCCTTCGTCCCCATCAAGTGGTGGGAGCAGCCACTGTCGAGCAGGACCACCGACAGGTTCGCCTGCACGGCCGCCGCCATCGCCTGGAATTCCTCGCCGTCCTCCGAAGCCAGCGAGACGGTCGGCTCCACGATGCCGACCAGCGAGCACGACGCCTCCTTGTCGTTGCGCTTCTTGCCGACAAAAGAGGAGTCGGCGTCCTTCGCCGAGGTCGACGACTTGGTCGACTATTTCTCCTTGCGTGGCTGGTTTCCTCCTCGATGCGGACGACGGCTGCCCGACCTTCCGCGGCCCCCCTTGGCGTCGTCGTCGTCGGAATCACTGCAGTCGGGGCACTCGAAGGAGAGATGGTCGGGGTCGCCGCACAGCCAGCACTCCCGACGTCGACTTCTTCCTCCTCGACCGCAATCCTTGGCCGACTTCTGCTTGTCGGCATCCTTCGCCGGCTTCCACCCGCTGCTTCTACCGCCACCAGACTGCCCACACTGCCTCGGTCGACCACCTTCCTTCGACGGGGCGGCGTAGTTTGCCTGCGCCAAGAGCTCCGAGGGCCGCTCGTCTTCTTGCATCGCTTCATCGTGCAGGATGTACAAGGTAAGAGAGTCCAGTTGAGTGTCGCCCGTGTGCTCGGCGCCACCGACAGCCGCTTCAGCAGGTTGTAGCTGCTTGTGAGCCCTTTGATGACGTGCGTGACGTACGACGTCATCGAGTAGTTTACGCCGGCCATCCTCATAATGGCGAGAATCCGCCGAGCCCGGTTGCAGTAGTCCGTCGCCGTCTCCTGTTCCCCCATCCGCAAGTGCGACAGCTGCTCCTCGAGCTGGCCGATGTACAGGTCGTCGGTGACCTGGTACGTCGACTCGATGAAATGCCACGCCCAGTGGCCGGCGTCGAGGTACTCCCTGTACGACTTCAAGGCGATCTGCACGCCCGGCGAGCAGCAGCGCGAGATGACCGTGAAGGTTAGCAACTGCACAACGCGGAACTCCGCACGCAGGTCGGTATAGTGCTCCTCGGGCGTCGCCACGGTGCCACGGGCGAAGCCGATCAGCCCAGCCATTTCCAGCTGAGGCTCAATGGCTTCCTTCCAGGTGAGAATGTCAGGTCGACCGATCAACAAGGGGGTGACCGAGATCCTGTCCGGCGTAAACTTGAAGTAGCCCTAGCTCGGCGTGATGCCTCCCGCAGTCCCATGGGTTGCCGACATCGGTGACAAACCGCTTCGTCGACCTCCAACGTCGCCTTGCGAGGAGCCTGCATCCATCGACAATTGCATCCCTCGCACCTGAACGCCGCCGACTTCATCTGCGTGTATCACACCTCACTGCCTCGACGTGCCTCCCGCACTGCTGCCGACCTGGTCAACGACGATAACGCCCACGTCGATGCCGCCTTCGTCGTTCACCGGTCGAGGAGAAGCATGTCGAGAAAGGTGCTCCGTCGCCCACACGGCGCGGATGCCAGCCTCGACGACTGCCTAGGGGATTGCTCCGTACTCCTGGCCCTCATGGCGTCTCCTTGCATCCTCCAGCTGTGCTTCCAGGGTGTCCATCACCTGTGTGTCACCTACGCTCACGATAGTGACTGCACGGCTGCTGGCCTACGAGCAACTGAGGTAAGTGACAACTATGTCGACTAGACTGAAAGGTAAGTCGTGTGCCGTCCACGCTCACCGCACCATGCGGAGATAACTAGTTCAATGGGAGCTAGATTACAGGCTAGGCACGGGGCTGAGTGATCTCTGCGTGTGTTAGTTGTTTCCTTAGTGCGCACACTAATTGCTAGTTCACGGGGAAAAATGGCAAGAGTTTCACTAAGAGAAGTTCACAACAATGATCCAATAAAGTTGGCAAGACAGGACTACATCAGAGCTAGGATGCAAGCGGGACGACTGCCAGCGCAGCATGGTCGACCGCGTGCCAGCACGACTTGGTCGACCGCGCTCCAGCAGTGCAGAGTCGCGGCCTGCCAACGCTGTAGGTCGACGGCGTGCCAACAGCGCAAGTCGACGGCGTGCCAGCGTTGCTCCCGCAAAACAACGTCGCACCCGCTTCGCATGTGCTCGCAGATGATTGGCGTGCTGTGCCTTGTCACCTGCACAGCGCACACACCATATCGTCCTCGTGCTGATGACTGCATCTGATCAGTCATGTCGACCTCTGGATACCACCACCGAGGTCGGTCTTGCCAAAACCACCTGGGCGAGCGTCGCACTCCTCCGCAGAACTTCGTCACCCAGGTAACCTGGTCGACCGGGCAACCACGTCGACCAGCTACTCCTTCATGTGCCTGTCGACCACCTAAGTTGATAACCACTTCTAGTCGACCTCACCAGGTCGACCACACCCTTGGTCGACCAGCTCCAGGTCGACGACACTCCTGGTCGACCAGATCCAAGTCGACCAACACTCCTGTCAGCTGACCACACCTAGTCGGCTTCCCGTGGTTGGCGTCACCCAAGTCAACGCCTCCACAAGTCGTCCTTCCAAGGTCGGCGCCCTCCTGAAGTCGGCGCCCTTGCAGAGGCACCCATGCAGGTCGACCAGCCCTGTTGACCAGCTCGTCCAGTGCTACAGGTCAGCTGACCCCCTCACCCTCGACTCCCGTTGACAGCCACAGCGCGCATGACTGCGTGTGCTGATAAGGAGGGCGCACATGCGTGCGTGCGGAAGCTCTTTCGAGACATGCTAGACCTGTGCGGCTTGTTCTATGCTTACTTCATCCAGATGTGTTGTGAGGCGACAAGTGAATTGTCAGTTCATAGGTGAATCATGAGTTTATAGGTTTGTCGTGAATTGACAGGTGTGTGGTAAGTCAACAGTTATACACTGGGAATCCCCCGTCGTACCCGCACTTTTGGCCCTCTTCCTTCTGCCCACCTCCTCCTTCCACACTGCTCGTCCCTCTAGGCTGGATGCTTGACTTGGAGTAGTTGGAGCCTTTGGAGCAGTTGGAGCAGGGGGACTCTTCGCACCATTTTGTCCCTACCACCCACCCTTCTTAAACAAGTCACTCTCCACACCTTCCTCCCTTGTTTTCCATCCCACCCCACTCCCTCCCACTCCCCCCCTCTCCCTCTCTCCTCTCCACTGCTCCCCTCTCTTTTTCTCTCCCCATCCCCACTCTTACCTCCCGTTTCCCACTCCGCACACCTCTTCCCCACTTCACCCCTATCCCCCCACTCAATGCTTCTCCGCTTCCCCCTTCACGACTCGTTATTCTGCTTCCACCCTCCGGCCTTCCTAATCCCGCACTTCAAACTCAACATGGCCAACCCTCACTCCTGTCCCTCTTCACCCTCTCTCAACCCTCCCCTCCCCCCCCCCCCTTCTTATTCCCTCTCTCTCCCCCTTACCTCCCCCCTTCAGGACTGTTTCCACTCCTTCCACCCCCAGGCCTTCCTGTTCCTGCGATTCGATGACTACATCGCCAACCCCCGCCCGCACATCGCCCAAACGCTCGACTTCCTCGGCTTCCCCGCTGCTGACGTGGCAGAGGAGCAGTGGGCAGGGATCATTGACCTGGAGCCAGTGGAGCAGCGGCCGGAGGGCGTGGCGAGGGCTGAGCTGGACGGGTTCACACGAGAGTACCTAAAAGCGTTCTTCGCGCCTTTCAATGCGGATCTGGTGCGGTTGCTGCGTGATGACAAGTATTCGTGGAAGAGAGGGCAGAGGTGATAGGGGATGGGTGGAGAGGGGAGGAAAAAAGGGGGAGACGCTCGGTTTTCCAATGATTTCAAACAGAAAGGCGCTTCGGTTAAAATTGCGCTATCTATTTTGATCGTGTTGAGCAAGCAGAATCACTCTTCGGCCTCACCTTCTTTTCTCAACCTGCTCTTTCTTTCCTGGCATCCTCCTCCCTCGTGTGTCGGTCTCACTTCCTCTAGGTCATGCAAATGGCGGACAAGAACCATCCCAACATTGTGCGACTGCTTGGGTTTGCGGTTGGAGGGGACGTCAGGTCTAAGATAGAGCAAGTCCTCATCTATGAGTTTGTGTCCAATGGTGACCTCCATAAGTGGAGTAAGTCATTGTGTCGCATTCCCTTGTACAATGTTACTCATGGTAGGCCACTCATGGTGCCTGGTGATGCTTGTCGTGAAACTCATCCTGTGTCTCGTTGCAGATGCACCTTTTTCTCCATCTCTGAAGCAGCGACTAGACATTCTTATTGGTGTTGCACGTGGCTTTGAGTACCTCCATAGCTTTGACATTGTGCATCGCGACATCAAACCCGCCAACATCCTCATCACCGATGACATGTAGGCAATCGCAAAGGCAGCATCTCACACTGCATAACAAGGTGTTTCTGTGAAAAGCAATCAAGAATAGCCACGAGAATTGCTAGGAAACGGCAGGGCCATGCCAAAATATTTGCTTTTTCTACTTTGGCTCATCTAGTCTCGTTGTTCATCTAGTTCTGCATATGGCTCACACTCACTTACACGTTCGTATTTCTCGTGTCTGAATGCAATTCTGGTTCACTGTCAAAGACCAGTGTATCTCGTTTGTTTTGTCACCATTGCTTTTTTTTCTCCTTTTATGTTGGTGCATTCATGATATCACATTATCCAACCACCCACCAGGCCAAGATTGCAGACTTTGGGTTGGTGCGGGTGGAAGAGGGCACGACAGTGGCACGACTCGAATCATGGGAACACCGGGCTATGTGGATCCGGTTTACAACCGGACGTCCAAGGCCACCACAGCAAGCAATGTCTATAGGTGAGCCAAGAGCCATACAAAGAACATGCTATGTGAGCCAAAAGACCCTGGGAGATGGCTCCAATAATGAAGATTCCCGAGGATAAGAAACAGTGGCATGTGCCTCGTCACATGTCATGTCGATATTGGCTGATGCATTAGATTCGCACCTGAAACAAGCACGTAATGGAACAATGCTAGTTGGTCAACCCATCCAACCTAGTTGGTTGAATACTAAAAAATTTCCCTTCTTGACTGAACACCATCGGGATCCTCCACAGGTTATTTGAATTCAGAAAAACCAAAATGGTCACATTCATGTCACCATTGCCTTGCTCTCACTACCTCTCGCACGTTGCAGCTTTTGTGTGCTCATGCTTGTGGTGCTCACTGGACGGTCTTCACTTTCCGAGGGAGATCAAGCACATCGTGGTGTGGGTAAGTTCCACTCAGGCAGCTTGTTGCATGTTGCCATAATCGCATTCCTCCAAGTGAAGTATGCTGCTTTACAGGCTAACTGATGTGTATTTCACGTTTTCAAACTTGCGTTTTTTTTTCATCCTCTTCCACTCTCTCAGGCGTCTGAGTGCCTCTCCTCAGGTAACATAGCGAGCCTCAAGCACCCCACCATGGACGCCCCTCCCGGGGATGCTGTGCAGCGCTTGGCTGAGCTGGCAATGAGTTGCACCGTGGAGCGCACTGCAAGCCACCCAAACAAGGCGCTCATTTCCAACGAATTGCAGACTGTCAGGGAGGAGGTGGCGGGGAAAGAGGAATCTGGTGCTGCCATCAAGGTGGATGCGCAGGTCCAGGAGATGAAGGATGCTGTTGCGGGTGAGGACAGCCTGGAGATACAACTTCAAATTATCGAGGATAGCGGCAGCTTCATCACTGAAGACCCAGTCTAGGGATGGGATGAGATTATCGCGGTTGATTTTACTTCGCAGTTCATTCGGTATGCGTTGCATCGCATGCATCATTCCAGGCTCCTGATTGTTCTGGGGGGCCAAGGGACTGCCCTGCTGTTTGTGAGAGTTACCTAGCTACTTTGTGCATTGTACACGCCTCCTTTTCTTTTATACTATATTAAGGTATTGCTTGACTTGGAAAAATCCGGACGCTTGGCGATTCATGTTTCCACCTGAATCGTACGCACCCCTCCATGACAGGGCTGATACTATTGGAATATTTGGACTGATTAGTCTGACGAATCATACCTTTTAGGCACTGCCCACTGATTAGTCTGATTGGTTGATTTCCTATTACTGGTTGATTCAGAGTTATTGTTTTCAAAGGCCCTTATCTATTGTGTAGTGTATCAGATTTAGGTTTTTGCAAAGCTTGACTGTAGAGGGTATTGTCGATGTGGTCCCTGAATGCGGGTTTACTACGGCAAAGTTTCTCAAAAATTTCGAGCGGGACCATCTCTGCTGAAAAGGCCATTCCAGAAGCAAGCCCCAATGACCCCCTTTACCATACCTCGTAAGCCCCCCGATACTTGTACCGTACTTCCCCCCTCGACTTCATCCTATGGCAGCACCTGTAACACCTGAACCCCCTTGTTTTAACCATAACGGTAGAATTGTCAAAATATGTTATATGTTGTTTCGGCTGTTGTGGGGTATACTGTACTGAGTACAACCCTTTAGGGTTAGGTCTACTTGTACGTGCCCTTCATGCTAATGCATTCATTCTTGCCTGTTATTTCTGGCATTGTATCAGAGCAGGTCCCTCTGTAGGACCGCTCCGTTAGGGCCCACCGTTAATTTTTCGCACTTTCCGAACTGCCCTGCCCGGTCGTACCTGCCCTGCCCAAACAGTGTCCCTCACGCTGCCCTGCCTGCGCTACCCCACGCGCTCTGCCCTGCCCTGCGCTCTGCCCGCGCTGCCCTGCCCTGCAGCCCATGCGCCACCCTGCCCTGCAGCCCGCGCGCCACCCTGCCCTGCAGCCCGCGCACCGCCCTGCCCTGCAGCCCGCGCGCCGCTCTGTCCTGCAGCCCGCACGCCGCCCTGCCCTGCAGCCCACACGCCGCCCTGCCCTGCAGCCCGCGCGCCGCCCTGCCATGCAGCCCGTGCGCCTCCCTACCCTGCAGCCCGCGCGCCGCCCTTCCCTGCAGCCCGCGCGCCGCCCTGCCCTGCAGCCCGCACGCCGCCCTGCCCTGCAGCCCGTGCTCCCCCCTGCCCTGCAGCCTGCGCGTCGCCCTGCCCTGCAGCCCGCGCGCTACCCTACCCTACAGCCTGTGCGTCCGCTTTGCGCGCCTTGCTGCCCGTGTGCCCTGCTGCTAGCGCGCCCCGCTGCCTGCACGCCCTCAGTAGTCCGTCGAGCGCCCTTAGCACGCCTTAGTCCTGCTGGCGCCATCACTCCTACTACCATCTGCCATTGCCTGTCATGGCCCAGATTGCTGTCTTAGCAGTTGACGTAGACGGACGCCCTTTCCGGCTAGAGTTGTGGCTTTTGTGCCTACACCGGTATCTCTGTCGTGGAGTTAGAGATGGAATCTCCCTGCTCGAGCACACGTCGGGGTCCCTTCGGGCTCCCATGACTCCCATGCCTGCTGCTGACGATGGCGAGGACGTGCAGCGGCAGTACCGGGCGGATCGTGCTGCCTGCACACAGTGGTCGGGGCGCGACGATGTCGCACAGTTTGCCTTCCGAGCTCACCTACCGATCGACCAGCAGGCCAACTTTCGTCAGGTCACGTCAGCCCAGCCTCTTTACGATGCTGTGGCTAGACACTACTCCTCCCTCTCTCCTGACACCCGGCCACTGCGGCAGTTCAGTCCGTCGTCAGAGGAGGTGCACCAGCTGGTCGAGGAGGCGTGTGTAGGTACCTGTGTGTCTGCTCGTTCAGGTGGTGCCGCTGGTGGAGGCGGAGGTTCTGGGGGTGGACAGCTGCCACAGCAGTGTCAGCAGGAGACAGTCCCTGGTGGTGTAGATGTTGCTAGTCTAGGTGCCTGTAAGCCTGCTAGCATAGGTGCAGCCCCTGTGGAGGCTTAGCACACCTTCACGCTTGACTCCGGCGCGACTCGCGACTCCACCACGGTCACACCCCTCACTACAATTGTCCCGCTCACTCTGGCTGACCCCTCTGGTGGCCCAGTAGTTGCACGTGGCTCCACCGTTCTCCCGTTTCCGGCAGCCCCCTCCGGCTCCCTCACAGGTTTCCACCTCCCCTCGTTCTCTAAGAACTTAGTGAGTAACGCTGTCCTCCAGGACCTATTTGTCACTGCCACTACTCCTGGGGGTGAGCTTGTGGCGATCTGTACGGAATCACGCACTGGTGAGCACCTCGTCATTTTCACTCAGAGCCTTGGCTCTGGCCTGTACACACTGACCACTGAGTTTGCACAGGTGGATGCGTCGGGTCACGTAGCTGCGTCGGGTCAGGTAGCTGCGTCGGGTCAGTTAGCTGTGTCTTGTTCGTGTCGGCTACTCACGCACCCGTTTCTCCTCTGGCACCACCGTCTTGGTCACCCCTCCTTGCCGCGCCAGTGTGGCATGCACTCTCGTCTCCTTGTCTCTGGCCTCCCCAGGTCCCTACCCCCGCTCCCGCGCTCGCTTGCACCGCCGTGCCTTCCCTGCGTCGAGGGGCGCAGGGCGCCGCTCCTCACTCCTCCTCGTTTCCTCCGACCACCGCTCCTCTGCAGACTCTCCACATGGACGTGTGGGGCCCCGCCCACCTCTGTGGACAGGACCAAGATCGCTACTTTCACACGCGTTACACCACGGTCTTCACCTTGCGGAGAAAGGCGGATGTCAGTGGTGTTTTGATCCCCTGGATCACTGCTGTTCGTCGCCAGCTGAGAGCGCGGTTCCAGCAGGACCTCCAGGTCCTGCGACTGCACTCTGACAGAGGCGGTGAGTTTTCCTCCCGCCTCCTTGAGGACTTTTGTCGTGCGGAGGGCATCGCCCAGTCGTTCACGCTTCCGGCCTCCCCACAGCATAATGGGATTGCTGAGCGTCGCATTGGCTTGATCATGGAGGTTGCTCGTACCTCCATGATCCATGCGGCTGCTCCCCTTTTTCTGTGGTCGTTTGCGGTCCGATACGCCGCGCATCAGCTCAACCTCTGGCCCCGTATCTCTGTGCCAGAGACCTCACCTACACTGCGTTGGACGGGGGAGGTTGGCGGTGCATCACTGTTTCGGGTCTGGGGCGCGCTCTCCCTTGTCTGCGATACCACCGCGGGCAAGCTCTCTCCTCGCACTCTCCGCTATGTCTTCCTTGGCTTCCCCACCGACGCCCCGCCATGGCAGTTTTACCACCCTGCCTCGCGTCGCGTCCTGTCCTCACAGGACGTCACCTTTGACGAGTCGGTCTGCTTCTACCGTCTCCACCCGCACGTGTCTTCCCCACTCTCCCCGCCGCCCCTCTTCCTGGTCCCAGGTCCCCCCCGGTAAACCCCCTCCCCCCACTTGGTCTTGCTCCCTTAGGGGTGTCTCGGGTCGACCTCTGGAGACACATCTGGCCCAGCTGAGGGGGGTTACCACGCTGCTGACGACACGGCGACCACGCGCCGCTCCCCGCGCTTGGAGACTCCTCCTGGTTTTCTGCCTTGGCCATCTTCGCCACCTCCGCAGCCTGTCGATGTGGACTCTGGTGCTGCTGGGGGTGGTCACACTGGGGGTGCGGACTCTGGAGGTGCTAGTCATGGGGTTGCTGAGTCTGGGGGTGCTGGTTCTGGGGGTGCTGCGAGTCCTAGTGGTGGTGGGGTCGTGGGTGCTCCTGCTGGAGGTTCTGGCGTTGGACAGCAGCAGCTTCGCGAGTGGGTTGTTCGGCAAGGCCGCTTTGGTGCTGGCGCTTGGAATACTGGTGCTGGAGGTGCTGGAGGTGCAGGAGCTGCTGGTGCTGGAGGTGCTGGAGCTGGAGGTGCTGGAGGTACTGGAGTTGCTGGTGCTCGAGGTCCTGGAGCTGGAGGTGCTAGAGGTGCTGCCGCGGGAGGTTCTGGAGGTACTGGAGCTGGAGGTGCTGGAGGTGCTGGAGCTGGAGGTGCTGGAGGTACTGGAGCTGCTAGTGCTGGAGGTTTTGGAGTTGCTGGTGCTAGAGGTGCTGGAGCTGGAGGTACTAGAGATGTTGGAGCTGCTAGTGCTGGAGGTACTGAAGGTGCTGGTGCTAGAGGTGCTGGAGCTGGAGGTTCTGGAGGTAAGGGAGCTGGAGGTACTGGAGCTGCTGGTGCTGGAGGTACTCGAGGTGCTGGTGCTAGAGGTACTGGAGCTGCTGGTGCTAGAGGTGCTGGAGCTGGAGGTACTGGAGCTGCTAGTGCTGAAGGTACTGGAGCTGTTGGTGCTGGAGGTACTGGAGCTACTGGTGCTAGAGGTACTGGAGCTGCAGGTTCTGGAGGTAATGGAGCTGGAGGTTCTGGAGGTGCTGGAGGTACTGGAGTTGCTGGTGCTGGAGGTCCTGGAGCTGGAGGTGCTAGAGGTGATGCCGCTGAAGGTTCTGGAGGTTCTGGAGTTGGAGGTGCTGGAGCTGCTGGTGCTAGAGGTATTGGAGCTGCTGGTGCTGGAGGTGCTGGAGCTGGAGGTGCTGGAGGTACTGGAGCTGCTAGTGCTGGAGGTACTAGAGCTGCTGGTGCTAGAGGTGCTGGAGCTGGAGGTAATGAGCTTCTGGTGCTTGAGGTACTGGAGCTGCTGATGCTGGAGGTACTGGAGCTACTTGTGCTAGAGGTACTGGAGCTGGAGGTTCTGGAGCTGCTGGAGCTGGAGGTACTGGAGCTGCTGGTGCTGGAGGTACATTGTACATCACTGCAGCAACTGCACAAGGAGGAAGGGGTCAAGGGACTGAAGCTGACAGGTGCAGCAGCTACCCACAAGTGTGAAACTTGCCTTTTGAGCAAGTTCACTCGGTTTCCATTCCATGCAACTGATGGTGGAGGCAAGAAACTGCTAGAGCTAGTGCATATGGATG